TTTGGAACAAATATTATTTTTAGATCTTATTTTCCAAAGCCATTTAACACATTTGAGCTGAACATTGTTTAGATAAGAAATTGTGGTATTTACTGTAGAATTCAATGAACTTTGCAACAAATCATAAATTCAATATTTGAAGACCATTGTAAATGCGCTGACCGTACTGGTACTTGCACATGTGATTTGGACAGCAAAAATTATAAAGGCGCTAATTTAAAGCACAAATATACACTCAGAAAAACAACAACTTAAATATACTAGTACGTCGGCGTTAATGAAACGAAAAATATATATTAATAAAAAAAATTTATATAGAAGAATATGTTTTGTACTCGTATATATAACACACAAATATATAATATTGTACATAATAATAATAAGAATATTTACTGCATCAATTTTTACAATCAGTTTGGTTGCTATAATTTATAACAGTTTATCTGCTTAAGCAGCAACAATTGCTACGATATTGCAATTTTTCTTTCAATAACTCAGTTTTTATTTCTTTCATTTTTTTTTATTTTTTTTTTTTTGTTTGGTTAATGAGACTATTTTGCAACATGTCGTTTTGATTTGTGCAACATTTTACGTTTTCAATGTCGTTTATTGGCACAACATTTCCATCGCTGCTGGTGTTACAGTTAGTGCAACAGGAGCAACAATCTTACCATGACATTAATATTCGTACAACCACAATGGAGTGTACACCAGTAAGTTGCAACAACTGGTAAATGGTAAATGGCAACTGACAACTGGCAACTGGCAACCGGCTATCAGTAAGCAGCAACCAACAACCAACAACTTAGCAACGACCAGGCATGCGTGAACGCAATTCATTGAATTTTTAGGGCAAATGACCCAGTGAATGTTGCAGCTTTGAGTTTTTGATTTTTTTGTAAAGCTGCTGTATCGCATAATAAGCAACATAAGCATTCATGTGCAACATATTTTACTTCATTTTATGAACATAACACATATTTACATATTACTCTTTCGACATGAGCATCATTAAGAAAAGCAGTGTTAAATCATTTACATATGCATGTAAGTAAATTTGTAGCACTGACGTCTTCAACGTCAAGTTAATGACAAAGAAAATTATTTAAAATTCTTAAGAAGCCAAAAAATTAACATTTAAATTTATTTTCAATTTTCTCTTGAGAAGAATCAGTTTTTCTTCAGATGTGTTCTTATGTAAATTTTCAAGTACATACAACCACATGTGGATCCACATGGAACATGTGAAGGAATAACATTCTGTAGATGAAAGTAGCGTCAAGCATATTAAAAGTGGATTAACACGTGTAAAATTGGGTTAAGTGCAAGTTAAATGCGGGTTAAGTGGAGAACTGAGGTTTCCAACACCAGTTTTTCTGGATTATTTCAAATTCAAGATTTTTTAACCACAAATACGTTTTTTTAATTTAAAGTTTTTAATTTAATAATTATTATTTGATTTACATCTTTTTTGGAGGCAAATAAAAAATGCAAATAAATATTTAAGGTTTATAAATGTACATATATAAATTATTTATAATATTTATAAATACTTACTTATTTAATTTTTAAAATAGCTTCAACTTAAAACAAAATTCCCAACAATATTTACTAAAGTAATTAAGACACCTATTAAAAATATTGGCATTGCAAATTGAAGTTACTTAACAGATATTTGTATATTTCAATAAAACAAATTATAGTTAAAAAAATAAGATGATAAAAGTTGCAGTTAACTATACTAAAAACATGATATATACCTAAATGTAGCTGCATTTGTTATACAAAATAAAATAAATTCCTTTTATTTTCTATATTATTTTAAAACAGTGGATTGCATGTTATTGATATAGACCAAAATCTATACCAATACATAAGAAAACATAATACCAACTACAGTTCTACAATCAAATTTTATATTAGTCCCAAACAAATATTTGAACATAATAAAATACTTGACTCGACTCTACTTTAAAAACTGTGATGCTCGCTCTTTGTTTTAAAAACATAGTTAGTGATCGCTATAGAGCATGAGTAATATCATCGATACGTATTGTCTAAAATACCATTAATAGTGGTTTTGAAAACTAGTTCTGTGCATTCGCACACGAGCATTGCTTGAATGAATGAGGCTACATGATCGATAAGTAAATAAGATCCAAATTTTGTTAAGAATTGTTATTGCCAATTATTTTAGATTTACATTTACTCCATCAATTTATTCCTTATCATACCGATTCTTTTTCCACGTCTCAATAAGCTTTTCGAATTTTTTGACAGATATGAGATAATTATTCTGAATGTTGCACTTAAATATTCTATATGACCAGCAAAGAATTACATTAATTAAAAAATAATATTGAGGAATAATTCACTGCCATTTATCCGTTTATTGTATTCTAATACTGTGTTTCATTCTAGGATTGCGTTGTGAAACGAAAAAAAAAGCATAAGCCATTTTATTAAAGTTTCAATGCCTCACAAACTTACTTTCAGTTTGTAAACTTTATCAAAGTGTTCATCATCTATTTACAGCTTAAATATACCAGAAATTTCCATAAAACCAACAAGTCAAAATCTGCTGCACTTTGTTCTGGTATTACAATTATAATGTGTCTTGCTCTATTCTGATGTTTCATTAACTCTGTTTGACGTTAGCCAAATTTTGTTATTTTATAAATGTTCATTACGTTGTTCATCAATTTCATTTTTACTTATACATGCCTTTTCTCTAGTGACATCTGAACAATAAAAATTTTTTTCATAATTATAAAACATAATATAAAAAATAATAATTTTTATAATAATACAAAAAATTTTCTTTATAATTATAAATTATATATTATAATTATATGAGAAAAACAACAATTTTTTTCTAATTAGGATTGGCTACCTATTCTTATAACTATCATAGAATTTAATTTTCTGCTTCTTTTTGTTTTTTTATTTAGATTTTTCGGTTCCTATAATATTTCTTCAAATACATATTATCAAAGTAGAGAGTATTGTTTCCGAGTACATAAACCACAAACAATTATACAACATCCTATTGATATACACTATATATCCATAAATTGATAAATATTTTGAGACTATAAATCATATGTAAAATAGAAATTAATACAAATTTCTGTACAGTGATTAAAATAAATAATTTATGGAGTTTCGTAATGTTACTAAAAATATCAGATTAGTACTTGAGTTAGTTAAATTTGCAAACACAATTAAAAGTTTTAATTGCAGTAATTATTAAAATGTTCGATATAATTATAAGTAATGTTTTTCAATTAAATAAATTGCAATATTAAGTAATTATATTCATTATTTTGCATGCGAAATCATGTAAATAATTATTTCAAGGCCGTTAACATAGCTGCGTAAATATTTAGCGGATAATACCAGTTCGGAACCAAAAGTCAGTGACTTTTTGCATTTCCCGCTTACAATAAAGAATAAAGATAAAAATTATAAAATAAATAATAAAAAAGATACAATGAGAAATCTATTAAAAACAAGAAAAACAGTTTGATTTGACTTGACTGAATTTCAATACCCTCTACACTATACAAAATATTAAAAGGCATTATAAATAAATTATATTATAATTATTTTTAATTTAAAAATTGCGTATACAGAGGTGGTTTTAACTACGTAATTTTTTCTTCACTTGTATTTTATTTCTTTAGTGCAATAAGTTAGCACTTTTTAATAATGAATTAGCATTTCAGCTTTTGCTAATTTGAATGCATATCTTATCTAATAGACAGTATAAAGGTTTTTTGATCACTTTATAATAAGCTGAAATAATTAAAGACTACTCGACTTATAGAAAGGCAGACAGATAAGTAAATATTGTTAAATCAATTGATATAGATTTATTACACAATAATACATATAATATTTATATAGTCTCCGTTGCCTTCTTCAGTGCGTTACCTTCAATTTGACAAATATTATATACCGTTTGTTCATACTTAAGTAGTAATATAAAATAATATTATAAAGTGCATCTCTTCATTTATTCTAAAAACAAAAGTAAGTCAATTTTCTAAATAAATTCCTTTGCATCAAGTGTTCATAGATAAATGAGAACTGCCCCAAATTCTTTGTTAAATTGTTTAAACTCGCTCTACATTTTCTATTAAAGTATATAAATTAAATCATTTTTCACTCGCTGTGTTTAATTAAATCAAATTAATTTTAAGTTTCTTTCAAAATGCACAATTCATCAGAGTTAGAACACAAATGAATTTTCTATTGAATATTTATTTTTATTCACGTTAAATTGAAAATATATACAATGAACTTTTGTCAATATATATGCAATGAATTTGTATGTACATAAAAGAGCGGAAATTCAATGAATTAACTTGGAATTAAATAATGAAATTGTTAAATGTTTATTATTTAATTTTTTTTTTTTGTTTTGACAACTTGTATCTAATTTTTCCAACAAAAAATAGTTTACTGTCTCGCTCTGTTGCTTATACTAAATATGGAATACTAAAGAAAAAATACTAAATAAATAAAAAAACAACTAACTTAAAAATTATATAATTTATTAAATTTTTACATTTTGATATTTGATAATAAACGTAGATGTATTTTTTGTTAGTCGTCACACATGAGAAATTAATTAAACAATTAGAAGGCATTTCAAGTGATTCAACATAAACATAATTATTTATAATACACTTGATCAACAAATAGTGTATTATAATTAATTTTCCGTTGTACAATAATTAAATTATTTTTTATTCACATAAAAAAGACATGATTTATTGTTTAAAGTGCAGCTCTATAAGATTAAATAAAATTGCCCTTACAATGTCAGTATTTATGTCAAGTTCATCGGTAGACACACTACATTTAATATGTAATTTTCACAAATAAAATTAATTGTATATGCTTATTATTGTTTTTTATATGCGTAAATATTTGTATATTTTTTGAAGAATATACACACAATAAATATTAACAATATAAAACTTTGAACTTACTTTCAATTAATCACAAATATTTGCACAGTCAATACGAGTTCTCGTCATACACACCTGGAAGAGCAAAAAAAAAAAATTTATATAAAACTCGTACTAATTAAACATTTATTTATCAATTTAAACAATATATTTTTATATTTACATATATGAAATTTTTATTAAATTATTTTGTTTCTTATTTTGTTTTTATTTTAATGCAAAAGTGTGTTAACCCAGTTCTATCAATATTCATGACAGATCGTACCAATATTGCTGTATAATTAATTTAAAACTCTCAGTATTAATGCTACTGGTTTAATTAAAACTTTTGTAGGGAAAGGGGAACCAGAAGTGAGAAAATAAGCAATTGTAGTTAAAAAATCATTACGTATCTCAACAATTAATTATATAAAAGTATGTGGATATAACTACAAACGTGCAAAATAGCACCTTCCGACCACTAATTAATATACGAGGGTGCAATTATAGATAATAACAGAAACAATAGCGCACAGAAGTTTAACTTATCAAACTTTTTAATATTAAAAACGTTTATGCAAGTATTTTACAGATATGTTTTTCTATGTTAGTGCTGTTAATTGGCACTTTGGCTATTTCTTATTTTTCTATTAGTTTTCATTGTTATTATCAATTGTTTATTGTTTTTTTTTAAGGAATATATTTATAATATACTAATTAAAAGAGCACTGACTTTAGTTGTTACCGCGTTTGTTCTACGTTTTTAATGCTGTTCTGTAATATTTAACTTTATTTTTTTATTTTAATGTACATACTTAAACAAAACTCAGCACCAACTTTTTATTGCTAGTACACTTAGAAAAATAATTCTGTGATTTAGATTTCAACTAAATCACAGGTCAAAATATTTTTAATCGACACATTATGCTGGTTCAACCATACCACATGTTGGTTTTTATTTCTTGTTTATCGAACAAACTAATCAGATCAATTAAATTTGTTTGTGGTTTGAGCATATTTTTCTGAATTTATAGTTAATATAGAACTGTTGTTCATTCCAATGTATATACTAGAATTAAGTTTAGCACTAACTTAGACTGGTTTCTTTCTTCATTTTTAGTGCTGTCAGCGTTAAAGTTAAATGTAGCTTAATGTATTTTGCAAAGTTTTCATAAGCACAGTCACTAACAAAGAAGGGGTTAACTAATTTGATTAACATAAAATTTTCTTGATATTTAACAGGAACATATTACACGACCCTCGTATAGCAGTAGCTCAGAAAAAAAAATTAACAAATAAAAATCGAATGTGGCACATTAGAAGTGCTACAGGCACTCAATCACCATCACACGTATGTGCTCAAACTCATCGGAAAAGCCCAAACTACTAACCAGAAATGAAGGTGCTTCCACTTAACACCAAACAAAAAGTACCACCACTTACGGGATGGTACATTTCCTTCGAGTTGAATTTCTAATGTACAACGCGTTCCGAATGAAAATCAATTAACAAAGTTGCTATTGCTGATGCAGGTGATGGTTGCTACTATTGTTGCTGTTGCTGTTGTTGTTGCTATTACGTACAGAATTTTATGCAACAATAGTTTTTCTAGCAACAGAGAAACTATTCAAGCAATATATAAACAAAAAGCAACAAATGCAACATAACTGCAATAGAACAACAACAACAACAACAACAACAACATCTGAGTGCAATAGGTTGCAAAAAGTTTGAAATTAAAAACGGAAAGAGCACGAAGTACGGAATATGGAATACGGAAAACGGAAAAGGTTGGTTGTAACGGATATGAATCTCACGTTGAGTTTAGAAATTTTACGCATTTAGTGGAAAAAAATAGTTAGTAAGTACACACAACAGAAATAATATTTGAGCAACAAAATTAAGAAAGACTGCGACTGCGACTGTGGCTACTGCTGTTGCTGTTGCTGATGCATGTACAGAAAAAAAGTAGCAATAACAACATGCAGTGAAAGGGCATATAAAGGCACATGTTACTTGCACGAGACGACTTCGCCAAAAATTAAAACGCGTAGCTACTAACAAATGGTAACGAATGCAGTTGATTCCATTTTCAAACTTTTGCCACATCGAGGCAATGAAAGCGATAAGAACACTTAAGCCAACATCATCACGTTTGGTACAAATTCGTAATGAACCAAAAAAAAGAAGCAGTTACGAAATTTAATAAAAACAATGCAGCAACTGTTGTAGAGAAAGGTGTTTTCAATGATTAGCAAAAGACTTATTTGTGTGTTTAAAGTTTTGGAGTGCAAAACAGCTTTTAATAGCTTTTAAACAATATTACTCCTTACAATATTAGTTTTAAGCGAAAGTTAGAGATGTATAAAAATTCAGAATTGTAAAATAATCTATTTCATGGTACCAAGGTAGAACTTTAGTGCTTATAGCTAACTACAATCTAACAGATGATAGCAGCCTTTCTAACAAATATCAGAAACTTTTCTGTCTGATTTCCTAACATCAGGGAGGAATAACAGCTCCCAACCCCGTATTCTGCTACCAATTTAGATCAAAGCAGAAAAGTCACAAAGAACATAACTAGAAGTCGTATTTTCTTTTAAAGATTTTCAAAAAAACTCACATTTTGGTCAGTGGAGACAGACCCATCCTTTTGAGGTACGAACATATAAAAATTACCTGTTAGGTAACTTGCTAACAAAATTAGTTCTGTCTTACTTTGGAGGGCATTTCTTTGAACCAGCGGTTATATCGAACCACGAGCACCTGGTCTGGTTTATCTCTAAAAAGTTGATAAGAAATAACATTACATAAAAGATTTAATGTATATAAATGTAAAATGTATAATAACATTTAAATTTTAATACTACATCCCATACATTTTTATGCAAAATGGAAAGAGACCAACGGATAATTACCAATTTGTTTTAAAGACCAGAGACTAGAGATTAGTAAGAAAATGGGTACAAGTGAAATGAGAGTAAAATATAAAGAGTTACATATTCTCCATCTATTTAATAAGCCACCAATTAACTAGCGTTCTAAGCTAAACTCAAAAAAACAAGCTCTAACCACATACTACATAAATTGGCCTGATTTAGTTAAAATCTGGTTAAATCAACTAAATAATTTTTCTGAGTGTAAAAATTAATATGGACATGAATATATATAAAATCATCGACGACAATAAGGAGCTGAATTTTCTTCTTCTATTGTATAAGTAACTAAATAACTATAGTATAGCCTGCATTGTAATCTAAGTTCAATGCATGTAAACTTCTAAATTCGAGAAAAGGATAAAGAAATGCATATTCTTCTGCTTAATTAGCAATCGAGTAACTAGAATATGTGCAATAAATAACATATATATTGAAACCACAGACCAGATATCCAAAATAACTAATATTTGAAACAGATTATTGAATTACAAAACTCTAATCATATATCCACCGTTACAAAACTTTGCTTATTGAACAAAAACATAAAAGTAGCGCTCATTTATGGAAATGAAGCAAAGTGCATATTTTCAAAAACCAGTATCTACACTAAATCTAGTAGTGGATTGTATCTCTAAATTTGGTGGCTTCAGAGAATATTCAATAGCAATCTGTTGATTCGAAGTAATCATATTTAGGTAGCAGAAGATATTGCAATACGTAAATGGAATTTAACTCACTAACTTTCAGAAGATCGAACTACATTATTGCCGGATATGTTTTGTGGTGGAATCTACAAAATTCTCGTCACTTTGGTGCACCAACCATAACTAAGAAGAAAGAGTTGATAAATTCAGAATATTCATGAAACGACATTATTCCAACTCTTAGAATTAAGACAGATTTAAATTGATAACACAGGTTCAATGCTCCACCTAGAGGGACAGAAATCTATCATCATCATCACCAATAATACAAAACGCTATAATTTTTCATACATAACTAACATATTAACATTTTATTAGAACATTGTTCATTTAGTGTTGTTACTTTTGCTTCATAATTTAGTTCTTAAACTATTGCAATAATTAAAGTTCAATTTGCTGCTAATTTGATTTGAATTGCTTTTAGCACAATCATTCGAAAGCAAAACCAAGCATTAATGTTATAAAATCAATGAAGATCATGTCAAAAACATCAGAACTAGCAATGCTTACAGCACTAAAAGTGGCAGCAACAGCGACAGCGTTAGCAACAACGGCAACAGCAAAAACAATAGCAACAAAAACTTTTCATTCTCTAACAAAGCTGCATAACGCATCTAATAAACCATGAGAAAAAAAACTTAAGCAAAAAAGTATGTAAGAGAAGTGCACTTGAAAAAAAATCTCGCGCGGCACATTAACAACACTTGAGGGCATCAGCAAAACGACAATTGCAGCGGTAGTAAGCAAAAGTAAAAGCAGCAGCAAAAATTTCTGCTATTTGAAATCACATCATCAGCTAAGTCAGCGATGCTGCTGCTACTGCTGCCGTTGTTGCTGCTCCTGCTGGTGGTACCACTACTGGTGTTGCCTTTGTTGAAAAATAGAAAACTGTCGCTTGTAAAAAACAATGAATGATTATGCCTGCAGCAGTTGCATCAGCAAAGCATCGCATTAGCAGCATCAATAGTTGAAATAACTACAAAAACAAACAGCATAAAAAATAACAACGGCTGTTTCAGCAGCGCCACCAACAACAACAAAAACTATAACAAGTGGCTTTTATTACATTCATCATCAGCGATAAGCTTTACAAAATCTAGTGTTGCTAGTTTTAAGAGGACTTTATTGACAGCAGAAGGATTTAAACATTTTTTGTTGCTTCATTTTGTCGTTTTAGTCGTTAGAGCACTTCTGACTTATTGGCAGCTTAAGTCGAAGTATAACGCTACAGTCGGTCTTTTAAACATAGAGATGAGTACGCGATTTTTCTAAGTTCATGTGTAACTTTGAATATTGTATTTAAGTGTATAATTTTAATACCACATTTTAACGCATATTAGAGTATTGTAAAAAATGAAAGGGAGGAAATTAAATAAAAATTGTCAACATTTTTTTATATCGTCCACATATGACATAATATGTTTTTGATTAACATTTGAAGGCAAATCTTTTT